TCATGCCAAAAACTAACCTTCGCATACAAGCCTTCAGATCTGAAAGCTGATTTAATATCATTCGTGTTATACCTGTTCTTAACTTTACCAACCAAACTACTTTTTCTCCAACATAGATCATTCTTTGAGATTAGAACACTCCTTATTAGAATATTAGTAATGCATGAGTGTGATTGTGTGTGAATATAGGCGTGTGCTATTGAGCTGATATGGTTGTGTGAGTTGGTTAGTTGGTTAGGGGCTGTTAGCAAGTTGTTAAGAGTTGGTTAAGGCTGTTAAGACAGCTCAGCTGAATAAATTTATATATATATAGATCTAGCTAATAAATGAAAAAAAAAGATACGTTTTCTGTATTACTTCAATATTCTTGAATCTCAACATGGTATCTTTCGCTAGACGATCCGGACGACTTGCTTCTGTTTCTGCTGCTTGACAAGAGTCCCCACAATGAGCGTTGATCAGCTTGCCTCTTCAATTGAGGGGGTCTCGAGGAATGCTAAGGCTTTCTCGAATAAAAGATTCAATGTCGTATTGGATGAATCAAATTTACTGTTGTGGAAGCAACATGTGCTTATCACCGTTCGCAGCCATAGACTTGAACAACTTCTCACTGGCTCCATGACTGCTCCGTCACAAATGGTGGTTAGTGATTTTGGTGAGGAAGTATTAAACGAGTTATATGAAGAATATGTGGCTCAGGACAATGCTCTTGCATCCTGGCTTCTGTCAAAAATCAGTCCACAATTGTTACCTTAGTTTGTGGGTGCTGAAACAACCTCTGCTGTGTGGAGCACAGTGCTTCAATTTTTCTCGAAGCTTGCATTACAAGCTTCAGTCTCTTAAAAAAGGAGACGAGTCCATGCGAGTTTATCTTACTCACGTTAAAGAAGTGTGTGATGCATTAGCATCGTGTGGCAGTGCATGTTGTGAGCATTTTAAAGGGGTTACCTCGTGAGTACCAACCTTTTGTGGCTGTCATAACAACCATGCGTGAGTCGGTGTCTCTTGACACTATTTACACTATGATGATGGATGCGGAGACTCAATTAGCAAGATTTTGTGATCCGCTTGATTCACTTCCTATGAGTGCACATATGATTCAAGGGTAAATGTCAAGTAAGATTGTGGATCCGTCTGATCGTAACACTGTGTATCGTCAAATGTACTCATGTGGTCAATCGACTGGTCGAGGTCGAGGTCGGTCTCGGTTGCAATGCCAATTATATGGCAAAAATGGCCATTTAGTCGACCAGTGTTTGCATTGGTTTGATGAAGACTTCCCTGGTGTTACAGCCAACAACAACAATTATTCAAAGGCTGAGTCAGGAAATGCTTACTATGTTGCCAAGGATAATTCGTATGATTGCAATACCAGTAAAAAATCTAGTGCCCATCAGCTCAAGTCACAGGTTGCTCGTGAACACTGGGTGGTGGATTCGGGTGCCACATCATGTCACCTCTGATGGCACAAACATCTCACAGACAGTGGACTTTAATAATCCAGGTAAATTAATAGTTGGTGATGGTGGTGTTTTAAATGTACAAACTGTTGGTAGCTCTTCTCTATTTACATCATCGCGTGTACTGTTGTTAACCGATTTGTTGTATGTGCCAAGAATAACCAAGAATCTTCTATCAGTGTCAAAGCTTGCTAGGGATAACAACGTTTTCTTTGAATTTCATGCGCATGAGTGCTGTGTACGTGATGAGAAAACCGATTCAATTTTACTTCAAGGGAAGGAAAATGGGGCTTATATCCTTTGTAGTTAGCTCAACACCTGAAGATAATTCCAAGTCAGAGAATTACTCAACACAACTGTCTACAGCTGTGTATGACTTGTGGCATCAGCGTTTGGGATATCCTTCGCATGATAGCTCTGAAAGTTTGTAAAGAAATAAATGTAATTCTTCCTTCAAGTGTTAATAAAATGTGTGTTGCATGCCAAATGGGAAAGAGCCATAAATTGCCATTTCATGCTTCTACAACAGTATATGATGCTCCTTTTCAGTTAGTTTTCACAGACCTCTGGGGACCTTCACATGTTGCTTCGACTGGTTACAAGTACTATGTCACCTTTGTTGATGCATGTACCAGACACTCATGGCTTTACCTACTGAAAGACAAAGCTCAAACAATTAGTGCATTTGAAATGTTCCAGCAGATGGTTAAGGTGCAGCTTGATTTTCCCATCAAGGCTGTTCAGGGCGATTGGGGAGGTGAATATCGAAGGTTGTCGAGCTGTTTTGAAAGCAGGCATTGCACAGGCTTACATGTCCACACACTTCTGAGCAGAATGGAGTGTGGAACGCAAGCATCGTCATGTTATAGAGCTAGCCCTTGTGCTGCTTGCTCAAGCGTCGATGCCTGTCAAATTTTGGGCTTATGCAGTTGTTACTGCATTCCATTTAATTAACAGACTGTCTACAAGGGTTGCATGGTGCATCACCGTTCGAGAAGCTATTTCATCAAAAACCTGCTTATGGATAGCTAAGAGTATTTGGCTGCCTTTGCTTTCCTCATTTGAGACCGTACTTGAAGCACAAGTTGTACTTTAGGTCCAAACCATGCACCTTCTTAGGCTATAGTACTCGGCATAAGGGTTTTCAGTGTCTTGCTGATGATGGTCGAATCTATGTCACAAGACATGTGGTGTTTGATGAGAGTCAGTTTTCATTTGCAAAGAAATGTGCTCAGTTACCTGCTGCCACATCGACCACCAACAAACCATCTGGCTCAATCGAAATTGTTACTGATGTTAGCAGACTTCAAGAGAAAGGTGAACCACAGGTCTCAACATAATTTAGTAGATAATGCAAATGATGATTCAAGTAGTTTGCCTGTTGCAAGTTCAGGATCGGGTGGAGACTGCTGATAATGTGTCGAGTGCTGAGCAACAACTGTTGAGTGATTTTTCAGTCACTGGTCAAAATACTAGTAATACTGAGCAGGTTGAGGTTGTCAGTACACATGATGAGACTCAAGAGTTGAATACCACTGAAGAAGGTGCAGAAAATTTGAGTGATGCACAAGTTAATAGTCATATGATGATGACAAGGAGTAAATGTGGCATATTCAGACCAAAGGTTTTTACCTCTAATGCTGTGAGTGAAGTCCCGAACAATGTCTATGAGGCTCTCAAAATTCTAGCTGGAGAGAAGCTGTTCAGGCGAGTTTGATGCACTGCAAAGAAACAATACTTGGTCGGTTGTGAAGATGCCTACAGATCGTGAGGTGATTGGTTGTAGATGGTTATTTCGAATAAAAAGGAGGCCTGATGGAACTGTGGAAAGACACAAAGCTAGGCTTGTGGAAAAGGGATACTTGCAAGTACCTGGTTGCGATTTTAAAGAAACCTATAGTCCTGTTGTTAAGTTTGCCACATTGAATACAATATTATCAATTGATATTGCAAGGAATTAGCCATTATGACAAATCGATGTGAATAATGCTTTCTTGAATGGTGATCTAACCGAGGATGTCTTTATGCAGCAGCCACCTGGGTTTGAGGAGTATGCTGCTGATGGAAGTTTGCTTGTGTGTAAACTTAACAAAGCATTATATGGTCTTCGACAGGCACCAAGGAACTGACATGATAAACTTAAAACCAGTTTGATCAGGATGGATTTGATCTTTCTTTTATATTCTTTACTTATATCTTGTCTATGTTGATGACATAATCCTTACTGGTGGCTCCTCTCATGTTATTGATGAAGTGTGAGAACATTGAACCTGCAATTTTCTTTAAAAGATTTAGGAGAGCTATCCTACTTTTTGGGCATTGAAGTTACAAGAAAAATGAGTCCTTGGTGTTGTCTTAGAGGAAGTATATAATTGAGTTGTTAGAGAAAACAAATTTACTAGGTGCTATACCCACTGCTACCCCGATGATTGGTGCTCCAAAATTAACACAGGATGCTGGTGAATTGTTAACAAATGCTCTAGAGTATCGTAGCATTGTTGGTGCTCTTTTGTATGTGTGTCATATACGACCGGATGTTGCCTTCAGTGTTAACAAGACTGCTCAGTACAGCACGCTCCACGTGAGCTACATATGGCTTGCAGTAAAGAGGATACTCGGTATTTAGCTGGAACATTGGACTATGGTCTCACATTTACAGGTGCTAGCAAGGCACTAGATGTTGTGACATTTGCTATGCAGATTGGGGAGGCAGTCTTGATGATCAAAGATCGGTTTCTGGCCATGTAGTATATCTTGGTGCGTGTCCTGTAGTTTGGTGCTCGAGGAAGCAAAAGACTATCTCCAGTCTATGATGGAGGCTGAATATCGAAGTGTTCCTGAGACAGTTTCTGATGTTACTTGGATCAGCTTGTTATTAGGTGAGTTGGGGGTGAAAAATCGAATCCCATATGTCATTTGGCGTGATAATACAAGCGCTGTTGCATTGAGTACAATCCAGTGTACCATGCTCAGTCAAAACATGTTGACATGGACGTGCATTTCGTTCGTGAAAAGGTTGAAGCTAAACAACATCAGGTGAACTATGTTCCAGCGTGCCATCAAGTGGCAGACGGGCTGACCAAGTCGCTGACAAAGGGAGCGTTTGAGGTCTTCAGAGATCAACTGTGTGTATTACCCTGTCGTTAAAAAAAGGGTCAAGGAAGGAAGAATATTGGAATATTAGTAATGCATGAGTGTGATTGTGTGTGAATATAGGCGTGTGTTGTTGAGCTGATATGGTTGTGTGAGTTGGTTAGTTGGTTAGGGGCTGTTAGCAAGTTGTTAAGAGTTGGTTAAGGCTGTTAAGCGAGCTCAGCTGAATAAATGTATATATATATAGATCTAGCTAATAAATGAAAAAAATAAGATATGTTTTCTGTATTACTTCAATATTCTTGAATCTCAACACTCCTACTATCCAAAGAAGGTATAGAAAAAGAGCTTGGTTCGCAGACATCAGTAACCCTAACATGAACAACTATAGCAGAATCACTATGAGACCCAGTCTACTGACCAACATACTTCTGAACTGAAAACCACCTACTCCCAACGCACATCCTTATCCTTTAAAACCGACCTAGCATCCCTTAAAACTGGCTTCCAAACCTTATTAAGACTACTTACCACATCTATACTAAGCCTATCATACTTATATTCATGGAAAACTCTAATCTTGAAACCATCCAACACCCTACCATCAGCTCTCCTAACCGCCAAGTTTGCTTCAAATCTATTCCTAAACCTAACGAAAGCAAAAGTAAAACCCACAGATTTCCTTTTCAAACTCTTATACGCAATGAACACATCCAGAACAACACCATAGACTTGAAACACTTCCTTGAGAGAAGAAACGTGAATCCTTTTGCTAACATAATTAACAAAAATCGTGAAGCCCGACTATCTCAAGGTTTGGGAGCTCATCTCACCTCATGATGTCTCAAATTTCTTACAAGATTAAGAAACATATCATGCTCTGTTCATTACAAACTTAGTTCGGTAGTTGACAAAAGCGTACATCGGTGAACATAAACCATGTATATCCAAGCCATCAGGTCATTACATTTGCATGCTTAAGCTATTATGTAAAAAAATACGAAAATCACAACATATCATACCTTCTACACAAACACATGAAGCACTAATCGAGAAATACACCTTTAACCAACTATAGCAGCCAAAAGATAAACACATGTAAAACCTTGAATTTTTCCTAAATTTAAAACCCTAAAAATTGAGAAATTTTCTTTAAATTCCTAAATTTTTATTAGGACTGAATTGAAAGTTTCAGAAATGTTAGTGACCTTTTTGTAAAATAAGAAACAGCTTTGGATATTTTCAGAAACCCTAGGAGATAAAGGCATTTATGTTTCGATTTACCGATTTCTTTTTATTTCACAATCCCCTGGCTTATTTCTTCTCCCGTGAGAGCCATAAGCAATCTTGTTCTTTCTTTTATTTTCTGCTCAACCCTAGTGCGCTGCTCCTCCGTTTCACGTTGCCTCTCGACGTCCGTTGAAGAAAGTCGACGCTGCTCTCCTTCGTCCCTTCTCCCCTTGGCCTTTAACCATCCTACTGTTTTGAAAGGGAAATCGTGAGTCATGCAGCATCTGTCGTCGTCGTTCATAGCATTGCGGCTGTCCATGGCAGTTGTGGTGTTCGGCTGGCAGTTGTGGTTTATTGGGATTTGAAGTGGGTTCGTTATTCTTGCAGGTGATATCGAATCAGAATCGAAATTACTATCCTCTCTTTCTTTACCTGCTAATTTTGTACCAACTCGATGGATCACGAGTAATAGTATAATATGTTAATTTGAGTAATTATTTTGGTTGGTTCGTTAGATTAGTGATTTTGGTATGAGTTTTTAGTGTAAGAGTTGATTCGGTTCCACCCATTAACAGAGATAATCGTGGGAATTGTCATTTGTTGTTAGAGTTATTTTGTCGAAGTGTGTCTATATTTATTTATGTGCTTATTTGTTTGATATGTGCTGTTAAATTGTGAGTTAGTTTATTCGGTGAAATTGATTGAAATAAATGCGATTCGGAAATTGTCATGTGATGCATGTTGATATGTCGGATTTGTAAATATATTTTGTATTAAGAATATTTGATTATGTTGGTTTGTTCTATTCATATTATATGATATATTCGGAATATGTGATTATGTATCAGAATTCGGTATATGTTAGGGTTAAATACACCATTACCCCTGAATTATACTATTTGTATCGAGTTATCCGTTTATCTTAAATTGTTATCCCATTTGTCCTAAATTTTTCAGAACGTTTTACCCCTTAATTATAAATTGTTATCCCGTTTGTCCTAAATTGTTAACTCCGTTAAAAGAAATTCACAGACCAATCAGAACATACAACGTCACCATTTAATTTTAATTTATTTTATATAAAGAAATTAAAATTATATAATATGTCAAAAATACCCTCTTCTGCTCTTTCACCGTCCACCCTCCCTTTCCCAACACCAACACTCATCTTTTCCTTTTCTCCATTTTGTATCCTAATCTCTCCCAAACTTTCTTTACCCTCTCCATCACTCCTTCCAACTCCATCAATGTCCAGAGAAATTATATCTTTGCCAAGTTTCAGTCCAAAAACCCTAATAGTTTTGTGAAACTCGGGAACAAATTGAAGAAGAAAACATGGGTGGGGTGGCATCATCAATGGCTGTCAAATCTGTCTTCTTTCCACCCAATCCCCCTTCGTACAAGCTAACTGAGAAAGAAAACATGGCATGGTTTGTATTAATGGGGTTAATGCTTTTGACATAAATGATTGTCTTTGGGGTTAGATTTGTTCCATTTCCTTTTTTGCATTATCTTATACATTGAATCCTTCATATACTTTAAAAGATTTAAAAAAAAAAACCATTCATAATTGAATCACCGAAAGCTTTTCTTTTTCAAAAACATACCAAAGAAAATGAATTTTAATTTCCTTCTTTCACAGAGTTCTATTTTTAATTAAATTGTTAGGAGCTTAACAAGAAATATAAATCAAGAAATTTTACTTACCAGTGTAATTAGATTTTGAAAACTCAAATGGGATCAACCTTGAATTAAAGTCACAAAGCATCGAATTAGCAAAAGATTCTTCTTCACTTTCATCCGTGGTGGAGCTAGGGTTATCTTGATTAAAGGCAAGGTCACATTTTTCTTAATCAAAATCTTACGAAATACAAGGATTTATGTTGCGATTTATCCATTGCTTTTTTATTTCACAATCCCATGCTTATTTCTTCTCCCGCGCGAGCCTTTTGCAATCTTTTTTTTCTTTCTTTAATTTTCTGCTCAACCCTAGTGCGCCGCTCCTCCGTTTCACGTTGCGTCTTGCCGTCGGTTGAAGAAAGTCATTGGTAAGTCGACGCTGCTCCCCGTCGTCCCTTCTCCCCTTGGCCTTCATTTGTCGTACTGTTTTAGAAGGGAAACCGAGAGTCATGCAGCTTCTCTCATTGTCGTGGCCAGCTGACCTTGGTTGGCCGTGAAAGCCACTGTCAACTCGTGTTTTGGAAACTGCAGCCTTTTGTCTTCGTTCCCCGCCGCTGGCCACACCGTGGGTGGCAGTGGACGTCCCCGGCAACCTCATTGTCATAATTTTTGCAGGTGATATCAAACCAGAATCGAATTACTGTCCCTTCTGCCTTTACCCGTTAATTTTTTACTGACTTGTATTTCGAGGATGGATAGTGAGTAATACTATATATTAGTTCGAGTAATTTATTTTGGTTGGTTTGTTAGATTAGTGATTTACATGAATTTTTTAAGTATGAGTTGATTCGTCGACCTATTGATAGAGTAACCATGAGATTCGTCGTTCGTCATTAGAGTTATTTTATTGAAGTATGTCTGTATTGGTGCTATGTTGGTTTGTAGAATTCAGATTATGTGATTACGCAAATAGTTTTACATTCGGATCATATTAGAATCTAGATATATGTTAAGCATATATATATATATATATATCAAGATTTCATGTCATACTGAGTTGGGATTGATAAGGGAAGTTCAATGCATTTATTCGACGGGTGAATATCACTTCGGATTCAGTGGTCTCTACCTTTGTGGCGGACCTCACTTCGTATGGTGTCATTGTAGTTAGAGTGGTTTTGGTGAACCTACTCTTCGGATGATGTGTAAGGCGTATAGGTGTATTTACATTTGCATTTCATTCAGGACTATGAATATTAAGACACGGACAATGAATATTTATATTTGAATCATATTTTGTTTTGACTTGTGCTTGTTGCACTTTAGAGACATATATGTATAATAGTTACACCTCTACAAATTTTATTTCAGATACTCATAATTAGGTGATCCAATACTTGGAGGATTTCGTCATTTATTTTCATATAAATTAATATTACAATATGATTTTTATTATACTTTTCCTTTGTCGGACATGTGTTTATATTTTGGAATTATTTATTGTAAATGGAACTTTGGTCATTATTATTATTATGTATTATTATATTATTATATTATTATTATTATTATTATTATTATTGAACTGTTTAAGCATGCATTTAATTATATTTATTTATTTATTACTTCTGACAAATTTAAATTTTTTGATACTAAAAATTACGAGGTTTGAATTGTAACACACCAACCCATATTCGACCCATATACGAATCCGATGTGTCACATTGACCTTTCAAATCATTGAGTCTTGAAAAGTGGTTGAACATTTAAACTTTTATTTGTATTAAAATGGTGAAACCCACAAATGAAAGTAAGTAATGAAAATTTAAATTCACATTGAAAATAAATACTTAATAATTTACATAATGCAACAAAGTATGTTTAAAAAAACTGATCAGAGCATTTCCATTTAAAACATGGTGATACATGTCGACAATAATTACAAAGTGAAAAGAAACCTACAATTTCCAAATGGTTTTGATTTGATCTTTTGCAGAAGTATGCTGCCCTCTCCTAACTTTAATCACGGTATTTCTTTGAACCTATGTGTGAGACTTGCACACACTAAGTCGTTAACTTAGTGAGGCAATAAAGAGTATAAAAGAAAACATCTAAAAACAATTTCTCATTCATTCCATATAAAACATTTCATACTGAAATCAGAATATATTTTATGATAAAAACATATAAGGTTTCTTATTGTTCAATTTGTATCATTTTACTATTTTAGCTCAATGCATAATTCTGAGAACTCAAGGTATCTGAGTACACTGAGGTTGTGCACTAATGCAATCACCACTGCTCATATAAATTGCACCGAAGTGCCATGTAGAATTTGTCCCGAAGAACCGTGTAGAACCCTCGACTCTTGGCATGCCAACTATACATCTAATTCTCATACATTTACCTTTGCCTTTAACTTTATAATTATTTTTTGTTTCATTATTTAAAGTGTGTCTTATTCGTATAGAGTACATTCTCTTAGTTTACTTTCACATAGAGCATTTTTATATAAAGTATATTCGCATATCACAGGTTCACATTCATGTACATATATCTATAAAAAAAATCTTAGAAATATAACTTAAGTACAACATTGTAAAATATTGCATAAAAGAAATAAAACATTTTTTGATCGAAAACTTCGAGGTTGGCTTATCACAAGTCGTCCTCTTATCTAGTATGAAATAAATGAGTTGCACTCACATTTGCCTCACGTAAGTTCTAAACGAATCCTTTTATCTTTTGCTAAATCTCTTTGGTATATCGCTTTGATTAATACGATTCTGATCCAAATCTACACGTAGATATATCTAATATCAATACCACTTTACATTAATGTATAACCAATTAGCATTTACAAAAATGAAACTAAAATTCTCACATTACATTTCAGATGCATTAGTATTAGTACCCCTCCTACAGTATTGATACTTCTCTTTTATGGTACCAACACCCCCTTCAGTATCGATACCATTTTGGCATACTGGA